ATGACCAAAAGCCCTGCACCCCAAGGCCTCCATTGCTTCTACTTCTATACTTTCAGCAACCTGGGCTCACCCACTCTATTCCAGTCTCCCTTGCCTTTTGTCGCCCCCCTTCTAAACAGTTTCGCTGTGACACCAAACTGTGACCTCTCCTTGCCTCCTCTGTCTTCTTTCTCCACTTGGGTCTCATACGCTTACACCAGATGACTTTTCCCAGAGCCAGGCCCACAGATTCTTGATGAGTCCCCCTTACCCAATGCTTAAGGTCAAATTTCTTACAACGGCCCTTACCTGCAGCTTGCCTCGAGGGTATCTCTACAAAACCCTGTGGCAGCAAACCAAGCTCTGTTCTCCCAAATTGCACCCTTTATTCTTGGGCTCTATTCTCCTGTAAGCAGTATTAACCCACCCCTATTCCCTCCCAGCAGCTGTTATTCTCGCTTATGCAACATTGGGCTTATTCTGTCTTCTCTGAGATGTCACAGCAAGTCCACTCCTGTGAGTAGAAGCAGTGGTCTCTCGTAGGGAAGGTGGTAGATTGACTAGAAGGCATGGAAACTCAGACGGCAGGAGACCTCAGCCCAGGACACCTTCCTTTCAGGGCCTTTGTAGGGTTGGGATTCCAACGTAGATGCACAGGAGAGGGCTCCTGAGTGATGAAGATAGCTCCTGCCACAAGGAGGCAGCATGAAATCTGTCCCCTACCCCCAAATCGAAGATGAGCTCTCTATCATCTCTTCCTCTCAGCAAACCTCTACTGACACTGAGCATAAGCCCAGCATGGTGATGTGTGCCAGCAATGGCGTGCTGGTCAGCAGCCTCTTGCAAAAGCCAAAGCCCTAATTTGTAGTGCTTTTGCCTATTCCTGTGGTGTAAATGTCCCCACTGAAGCTAATTTCACACTGCCAACAAAGTCTCAGTAACATGAAGCTGGAAAGGAATGCACACCACGTGCCCTAGAGAGCTGGGGCAGGGCTGGCCCCACACACCACTGGCTGGGGACAGAGCAGTGAAAAAGCTGGGCAAGGCCACAATCCCAGGGAGCCCAGTCTAACAGGCATGAAGCTACTGTTTTGCTTCTATGGCAGCCTTTACTACCATCACTGAAGGTCAAGCTTTAATCACCTTAAGCAGTCCAGTTTCCCCCTGTATTCTAATTGGTGGAAGATCTGCAAGGGTGGGGATCACACCTTACCCTCTACTCTGCCCCAACCCCAAGCACCCACATGAGGCTCTGTCCACAGGAAGCACTGCAGATGTGTTTGCTGATTTCACAGGCAGGGAAAGGAGGAAAAATATGCCCCACGTGACTGAGGCGTGGAAGCAGCTGTAAGCCACAAGGGAATTGTGAATGAGCAGGGTTGGCCGTTGGTAAGATTACAAAGCAGGAAGTTTACCCCATCCTCTCCACCCGCCTCCCACCTCCTGGCACCCTCGCTACTGGCTAGTTGTCAGGCCTGACCTCAATTCTAACTCTGCACCCTTGCTAGGGCTTCGGTGGTCATGCCAGAAGGAGGAGCTCTGACCTTCAAAATTGTGGGAAGAGTCAAGAGTAGTCCCTGGGTGGCGCCTGTGGCTCAGTGAGTAGGGCGCAGGCCCCATATGCAGAGGGTGGCAGGTTCGAACACGGCCCTGGCCAAACTGCAACAAAAAAATAGTCCGGAGTTGTGGAGGCACCAGTAGTCTCCGGAGGCTGAGGCAAGAGAATTGCCTAAGCCCAAGAGCTGGAGGTTGCTGTGAGCTGTTACAATACAGCACTCCACCAAGGTGACAAAGTGAGACTCTGTCTCTAAAAAAAAAAAGTGTTGTCCCTGGCTTCTCAAATGGGTCCAAAAACTTCCTTTCACCCTACCCCACCCCCTCCAGAAAGTTATGTTCTCCACTTAAGTTCGTGGCCTTTAGGGAATGTGGGCTCTGGTCACCCTCGGGGCTGACCTGGTGAAAAGGGACATGTGTGAGAAAGAAAAGAGGCACGTCCCAAGGCACCGCCTGCAGCCTGCCACACTCACACTCCCACACCAACAAAGAAAAGCTGCCACCCTCCTAGCCATGGTAAGCCGCACTGGTAGCTCGTGCCCTAGCCCGATAACATGAGCAAACCCCGAGATCTGCTGCCATCTGGGGAAGAGGGACAGTTTCTATCACAGCTGTAGACCCTCGTCCTTAACACCGAGAAGGGGACAGACACAACCCCACGAAGGAGCTCCCTCTGGTCACCTGCACACCTCCCGTCTCAGTGTTCCCATCACAGAGCCCACGCCACTTCAAAGATCAATGCTTTATTTTTTCTCACTCCAGTGTGACAACTGTAGCAGCATGTCAGAAACATCCCCTCGCACAGACACACATTTCTCCCGTCTTCAAAGAGCTGGCAAATGATGGAGAGGCAGGAACAATGTCTACTACAGGCATCTGAGAAACTTAGGAAATAATGCTTGCTCACCCATAGAACATACACTGTGCGTCTCACAGGTAGGAAGCAGCAGTACATTCGTAGTTCACAGACACAGTCACCCTTAAATAAAATTAAATAAAACCTTATTGGCATAACAATGAGTTGGACATAAAACCCCATGGGCACTTTGGAGAATGGTATTTAAAATAAGACATCAGCATATTAAAAAAAAAAGAAAAAGAAACAAACCACACACAGAATACAGGTAAGTAAATAGCTAGATTCAATTGAAAGTTAAGAAAATAGTCCTAGGGCATAGTGGTGGCTCGCCTGTAATCCCAGCGACTCTGAGGCTGAGGCAAAAAGCACTTGAGCCCAAAAGTTGGAGACCAGCCTGACCAACTTGGTGAGACCCTACCTCTTGAAAAAAAAAAAAAGTAAATAAATAAGTAAATACAAGTAAAAAAGAAAAAAAGAGTCACAGATTGATGATTTCACCCATTTGGAAAAAAAAGTAATTGTTTATTCTAAAATAAAGGTGAAACTGATCAATCATGGTTTGAGCAGAAGAGTGAACACACATCCCATATGAAAGTACGAGTGCTGCACTCAAGTGGCATCACCTAGAGCAGATGTCACCCCAAAATGACTGAGTACGTGCCAGGATTTTATTATGTGGGTCACTAGGGCAGGGAGAAATTTCCCCACTCAGCACTTTGCAATGTCAAAGTCACAACTGAAAATCAGACCGCACTCTGCAGAGGGTAACAATACCGACCTTGGAGATCAAGGCCAGCAGAGGAGAAAATTGATTCCTAAAATTAACAAACACTTTTATTTGTCTAGTGCTCCACAACTCTCAAAGGGTCACTCAACCTCTTAAAGACCAGATCCGGCAGGCAGAGCAGGGAGTTACCACACCCGACCTATCCCTCATCTCATAAGGAAGGGCCTGTACTCCTGCCCACGGGCCTCTGAGACCCAGTCCCCACCTCTCCTTCTTGCCTTCCCCCTAACCAAGGGAGCATTCCCAGAGAAGTCAACAGTTTCTTTTCTACAGACAACCAAAAGCAAAATCCTAAAAGAAAAAAATATCTCACAGCTCAGGGGCATAATAAAGCTGACAAAAAAAGAGCAGTGGGGTTTTAATTCTTTTTAGAATTTGATTTACATTCTTCTTTAGAATTTGACATTTTTCTCCTCCATTTGCAGAATTTAACACTATTGAACACTAACCCATGGCAGGTTTAAGAGAGCAGATGTAAACATTCTCAGTAGCAGCACTGTCTCCGGGGCGCTTTCTGCATCTCCGTGTGGGACAGAAGCTGGTTTCATAAGCAGGGAAGGGAGAGGCCCCCTCTTGTCCCCCAGGTGGGCCAGGCAGGCAGCAAAGGGCTTCTCGAGGGGCACAGGCGGGAGGCACCCAACACGGCTCTTTCTCGCCCCTCATCTAAAAAAGGAAGTCTATTTCACTGTTCACTATAAAACTTCTCATTGCGGTGAGGACAAAAACTACTCCTGGCAACACTGTGTGCAAGGTCCCAAGATGAAAATACTGCATGTGCACCTCAAGTCTTTCCTAGGCTAAGGAACACCATCCAGCCAAAGGTGCCCAGGCCTGAGCCTCCTCGGGGAGATGTGCCACAATGACGGCTGTGTTGGTAGGTAGGACCGGGTGCACCAAAACGAAAACACCCACACGCTTCCCGCTCATCTGTAAAGACAGGCTCTGGTGAGGGCTCAGAAAAGGAAACGGTGATTCGTCATTTTTCCCTGGACAGAGGTCTGGCAGCACATCAGATGTAGCTAGAGGACGCGGGCTTGTATTTTCTCTCTGCAACAATCTGAGTCCGCACCATTTCAGACGACAAGGCTGTGGGGCCCCGTGTTCTCGGTGACGAGGCCGCAGAACAGCTCCGGGAAGCATCTCCTGACTCCAGGCATGAGGGGCCAGGTCAGGCCTCAGCAGCAGGGCCCTGGCTAGAGGCAGGACCTGGCTTCTGTCACTATGCAGCAAGGGGGTGAGGGAGATTAATGGTTGGGACAGGGCAGAGGGACAGACAAATGCTGGAGGTATGCTTGCTATATTTTTTTAAGAATCCCCACACTGTACTGGGAAACACAAGAGATTAGGAGATACACATAGGCCAAGGTATCTGAACTGCCTGAGTTAAAAGGTTCATGTAGAAAGAAAGGCCTAAGACCTAAGATTTATCCCAATGACCTGCCCCACAAGTAGCCAAATGTTGGCATATCAAGGGCTTCTAAGTGCTGGCCCAGGGAGGCAAACATTCACGTCACTCACCACAAGGGGAGGAATCGGTCTCAGTAGGCTAAGACAAGTCATCCTAATTCTACTGGAGCCCACCATCCCGCAGTATAAGGGCTCCTGCCACCCAGTATGTGTGCGTGTGTGTACACAGCAGGAGAAAATGTGCCAGGGCTGGATTTCGGTCCTGGAATTTCTAGGAAAGACTAAGGGAAAAAAGGCACAGGAAGGTGATTGATTGAATTTAAAAAAAAAAAAAAAAGTAGCTGCAAGTAATATATCATTATTTTGATTTTTTTCAACGTACCTTTTTCCCCCTATAAAAAGAGAAATTCAAAATACAAAGTTAATATTTATTATTTTACATTCAAGTGAAACTTCCATGGGGGCGGTGGCAGGGGTGCTGAACACAGTTATGGGGTCACATTCAGTGATCTAGTACTTTGGTGCCTTTTGAGTGAACCTGATGGAAAAATTCAACCCCTCATTTTTTTTAAAGAACAGCTTGAGAGTCCCAGCTGTAATACTATGTGTAGACACACACAAGCACACACACACATTCAAAAACTTCTACGTAGAAAAATAAAGGATAAACATTATCCATCTATTTTATATTGCGTAATGGAACTTTTATATACATAAAAATTTTTTCTTTCCTTCACGTTTTCACTCACTGCATTATTTTCTTCCCTCCTGGGTGATCTAAGGATCTAGGGAAGAGACTGCCATAGTGAAGCGGAAAAGCTACATTCCTACTTGAAGAGGAAGAGAAAAAGCCATTTCTCACTCCCCTTCCCAAGTCCTTCCCACTACCACCACCTCAGATGTCCCTGGGGACGGCCTCCTGCTGACCGGCCATCCTGCCCTCTCCTCTCTCTAAGGCAGCAGGGGAGAAAAAGGACCCTAGGTAGCACCCTGCAAAAAAATGATCTAGGTATGAGAGCAAGGACGTGGAAGCAGGCACAGAATGCCTCTTAAGAATAAAAGATTCTGGAATCACTTCCCACAGCCTGTTCCTTTAGTAGGGAGCTCGATTCTCCAGCTGGTGCTTGGTGAGGAAGTACTTGAAGAACTCATAGACAGACCAGGATATGGCAGTGGAGGGCATCTGGTAGATGACACGTGCCTGTATGCCTTTGAAGTAGCCGGCCAGGCCATTGAGCTGATACACCGTCCGGAAGGCATTGGCCATGCCCGACAGCCGGCCACTGACGTTAGCCAGGGAGAGCGCCATGTTCTCCTGAGTGTTGAGCAGGGTTTTACAGACGTCCAGTGGGGTGGTAGCAGCTGCAGCAAGGGCCCCGGCCAGCCCGCCTGAGATGATATGGGACTGCGGGTTGTACCCCCGGTGGGGATTGACGTGCTCCTGCAGGAACTCGTAGGTGATGAAGTGGATGGACTGGAAGGGAATGTTCATGGTCAGCTGCGTGGTGTAACTCCGGTAGAACGCCCTCAACCCCTCGGTCCGCCACACTGTCCGGATGCAGCTGAGGGCTGACCGGTGCTGTGAGTTGTACATTTGTAGACGCTGCTTCACGACTGGTCATCAGGATGACAGGGCAGGCCAGATGGGCAGGCAGAGGGCAGCGGGTTCAATTTGGCCCCACCCCAGGTCGGAGTGAGATGAGAAGCCGAGCCATAAAGGAAAACAATCAAGTTAGACACACAGGTCACAGGCCACAAGGAACCAGCACACACAGCCCCAGCACCCTCCCTCCCCCTGAGAATCCACCAGGGCCAGCCAACTCTGGCCAGTCCCATGCTAAAATTCCATTTTTATCTCTAAGACCCAGTGCCAGGAAAGTGTCTATTTCCTTAAGTTTCTCTTGTCTGAATATTGCTGAAGGGTCCCCCAAGCCAGGCAGCCACTTTGGGCTAGATGAGCTAATCTGATCTCTAGGCTCCTGGCTGCCCCCAGCAGGAAGCTTCAGCACCCACCACAAATCTGAATCCTGCCCCCTGCTTGCATCCCCAGCTCGTCTACTAGAAGTTAAATCCCCTTGCGATTCTGGGGTCTGTGCCTCTAACAGTGATATTAGCTCTGTGTCACTGTGCAGCTGGAACAGACACTAGAATTACGTCTGCCCAAGTTCAACAACAACCTCACTTAGAGCTTTAATGCTCCCCACGTTTTGCCAAATGGATACATGCAATGGATTTTAACTTTTAGAAAAATAAGGCCCTTAAATCAATAGTAATTAAAAAAAAAAAAGAGAGAGAGGAGTTAAGCCTCTTGTTTCTCTCTTTAGAAAATACAAACAAAACCTGTGCTTGGTTAACACAGGCTAACTAGTCACCGACCAGGTCCCTGTATGACTTGCCAAAAAAATTTTTACGAAAAAGAAAGTGAGAAGCCCAAGATATATAATATTATGTAAGAGAATATTTATTTGGGGATTTCAGGTTTTTCATTGAACTACTTCCTCGAGGAGTTTCCCTCCCCTCATCCTGTCTAGCTAAGAACTCCGCTTACCTGTCCCAAAGCACACTGTCCAGAACACAGGTATTGTCCTTGTTCATTATAGGACAATGAAGGCAGGTAAGTTTACTTAAGGAAATCCATTTCTCAAGAAAGATAACATGTGTGAGATAAAACACAGCAGGCTGTCTTTCTGAGCTCTCTACTAACAGTGAAAAAGGTGTAGATCACCCCTGTGTCTCAAGCTGCCTGCTGCAATGGGGACACCCAAGTGGGTGGAGCAGAGTGCCTGGCTCCACCTGTCCCTCTGGTAAACCTCAGCACCCAAGAGACAGAAACCCCTGCCCCAGTCTGACTCATCACAGCCCTGAAGGCCAGAACAAATCTCCTGTCTGCTAAGTCATGGGAGGCAGCTGAGAACAAACAAGAAAGTCTAGCCTTCAAAGGCAAAAAAAAAAAAAAAAAAATAGACAAACTTCTAGCACGAGACCTAAAATGGTGAAACTTATCTCTCCAAGGGATCTTCTTATGACAAGGAGAAAAGGCAGCGAGATCTACATCTCAACTAAAGCCACTGCCAAGCAGAGAATAAACAACCCAGCTGCAGGCATTCTAGAACCAGGTCCAACAGGTCCTCAACTACGCAACCCGAGTTGGCCAAGGATGCTAAAAAGCTAACAGAACTCATCCATATAGCTGAGGTTTGCTTTAGGATACTCTCAAAATTCAAAAGGGAAAAAAGAAAAGGTGATGTGGGGAGAGATAGCTAAAAGAAAATGGCCCAACGTTATTTTCTGAGGCAGAGTGATGGATACCAAAGGGCTCATAAGACTATTCTGTCTTCACAAATATTTGAAACTTTTCCTAAGTGCTCAAATACCTTTATAGAAAAGCAAATTGAACAAGCCCAAATAAATGGCCTCCAGTGGGTTCCCCTGAAATTTGTCTAGGGTTGACAAAGTTTAACAAGGGCCAGAAGTGTGTGTGTATGGGTGCGTGCGTGCGTGTGTGTGTGTGTATTCACGTGTGTGTGTGTACACATGCATATATGCACACACGATTTATAGTTGTACAGAAGCATGCAAAAGAATCACCAGGAAAGCTTGTTAAAACAGATTCCTGGTCCCTCCCTGAGGAATTCTGATCCAGGAAGCCTGAGCTGGGCTTGAGAATTAGCATTGCTAACATCTCCTAGGAGATGCCAATTCTGCTTGTCTGTGGACCATCCCTTGAGCAGTTCTGTTTTTGAGAACAGAACTACCGTAAAGCTCAAATGTTCATGTCCTTCTTGAGACCTTAAATAACACAGTAAAGAATTCAATTCTCCTGCTTGCTCTGACTGGGAGCCAGCAATCACCCTGTCCCCCACCCCTACTGTTTCTCTGCCCCTCTGCCCAGCCCCTACTGCCCCTCCCTGGGACCATGAAACTTTACCTTCTGCTGGGTTCATTACCGCATCGTGGAGCAGGGTGGCCATACTCCCAGCTATCCCTGCAAAACAAACTCCAAAAAATTACCCTCGGGAACCAGGTGTTCTCAGGAAGTTCCTGGAACCTAAAGGCAGATGGAACCCAGGACTTAGCTTAGAAGCAAAATGTCCTACCAGTTCCACCCAGGTAAAGAAGGATTCCTAAACCCCAGGGGAATGCTGGATAAAAGTGGGGAAGGCGAACACAGGCCAAGTCATCCACATCTAAGTCTTGAAGAAACCTCCTTTTCTTCCCTGCTGTCAACCCTGGGGAAAAGCTAGACTTGTGAACATTGAGTGGTTCCCAGAAACCACACTTTGTGGTTTTTCCATTGTCTAATTTTTACTGTCTCTTGTCTCTTGCCTTTGTCTACACATTGACTCATTCTGACCTTCAGCTGAGGAAGGAGATAATACCATATAGTCGGCTGAGACGGAGAAAAGAAAACAAATCTTTTAAGAAAATTCCTTGGTTAAAATCCAGGCATTTTTAAGAAAATGGGCAGAAGCAGGGCAAGTCAGGAAGACCAGAAACTGGTAGATTTCCAGGGCGAGTTTGAAAAGCTCTGACTCGTCTGGGGGAATGACTGACCCCATCTGGGGGTCTAGTCAGGCTCGCCTTCCAGAACCAGGAACTTCAAAAGCCAGGACCAGGCCTGGAATTTGGCTTTTGGCTTTGGGTTTCCTCCCTCTGCAGTGACACTGCCCAGTAATTAAAATTACCACTGAGGGGGTGGGAATACCAGGATAACTCTTCAGAAAGGCATATGATATCCCCCTCCCGGGCCCTGCACACACTCTTATAATTATTCCCAGAAAGATCAAAATGCAACCACAGCATATACCGCTGAAGAAACAGCACTGGGCAGAACTTAGCATACAATGGGTTCCGCCAAATCCCTTCCAAGGAGCTAAGCCCTTACATAAGGCAGTATCAGCGAAAGGAGGGCCCCAGCATCATGAACTCAGGGGTAGGATCACAGTGTAGCTCTTACTGTCTCAATAAATCCCACTAAAGGAACCCTTTTTGAAAAGCAAAACCAAATGTCTACAAACCAGCCAGGTGCACTTGTTACCGAGGTTTGCTGACGGGAGGGATGCTTTTTGAGGAGAACAAAAGGAGAAGGGAAAAATTTGCTGCTGATCGTCTCTACTTCTCCAACATTTAAAAAATGAATTTTGGCAAAGTAAGCACGCTTTATGCATCGCTATCCATTATTCCTGCTGCATCCCCAAACAAAAAGAAACAAAAGTCGGCCCCACCCATACAAGAAATCTAGTGATCAGCCCCGGCCCAGTAAAACATGCCTTACGTAAGAGCTGCTGCCCAACTTACACCCCCACCCGCCTCTCTCCCTCAAAACAACCAAATAAAAACGATCTCGGCCCTTGCTTGCAGAGATGCAACTCAGACAAACGCAAGAGGATGGGGGTAAAATTCCCAAATCCCCAGAAGCTTAAGATGGGAAAGGCCTTCTGCGCTGGTGCGAGTCCTTTGTCAGCCATAAAACTTCTTGACCTTTTAAAGCTTAGTTAGATCTTGGCGATGGAGAGACCTGTTGTACCAGTTTTTAAATAGTCTCAAAGAAGCTGTCCAGATAACTTTTGTTTTTATGGAATCCAGCATTCAAAAGTTTTGTTGCTAGTCAAGCTTTTTCCTATGTCTGATCATTAATTGCTTTTGAATGTTTAAAAGCAAAAGAGCCAAAGAAGACCCACACAACAATGAAAACCGAAACACCTCTGTCACTGACTGTCCCCAGGCTTCAGAAAGCGAAGGAGGGGAACACACGGAAAAAAGAAAAATAAAAGCATGTGTGTGCGCGTGTGTGCGTGTGTCTGGGTGTGTGTGCACACACGACTCGACAGAGTTCTTTATTCGTGAGCAAGCGTGTCGAAGCTGAGGCATTAAGGCCGCCGGGTCACAGGGAGGAACACCCCGGGGAAGGAGGTGTTGAAGAAGAGAGCTTTCTAACTCCAGACAAACGCTTTCAAAATACCGTTGGCTAGGTGGCTGTTTCCTTGGTGGTGGAAAACGTCACTTAAAGTCCTTTTCATGTTTTCATAGCAGGCAAAATACATGGCATGGGCCGGCCCCGCACCCATGATCATCACATTGAGGCCACGCAAAGGCCTCCAGAAGCCTTCAGTCCGCATGATTTTCTTGAGGGCTCCGTAGATACTTGTGTACTGGGCTTTGGGATCAGGATTCAAACTCTGCATTCGTGTCTGGGGGGTGGGTGAGAAGAGAAAACAGAACATGGACGTTAAGGAGGGTCGTAAACAGGGAAAGAACACCCAGAGAGAAAGAGCGTGAAAGAAAACAGTCCATTTTCACAATTTTCACAATTTCACAGGATCACGTGGTAAACAACTTTATTCTCTGCCTCTTGGAGGGCACCCCCAGCCCTCCCTGCCCCTCTCCCGTCCAGACACACAGAGTCATATAAATTTCATCATGGCCAAGAAAAGGAGAGGCAAGCCAGTGTGGGTTTTCTACTTGGCAAGTATTTCTTATGTCCTATGGTGGTCACTACAAAAATTTTGAGATTTCGAAAATTGTGAATTTTTGAATTTTGAAACTTGTTGTGGTCCATGATTCCACTATTTCATGGCCTCTGACAAATCCCTTATCCGGTGTAGGCCTAGAGATCTTCGATTCAAAAAAAACAAGGCTGTTGCAAACCAAACTCTGTATGTGAAAATGCTCCATAAATTGGGAGTCCTCGATAAACACACAATGAGCCCACGGTTCCCACTCTGGTTCTGAAGGCTTTTGTGTCCTCACTTACCTGAAACTGCCAAGTTCTAAAACATTGGTTCTCAACTTTCCTAATGCCACAACCCTTTAGTACAGTTCCTCCGACCCTAAAATTATTTTCATTGCTACTTCATAACTGTAATTTTGCTACTGTTATGAATCATAATGTAAATATCTCATATGCAGGATATATTTAGGCAACCTATTTGACCCCCAATGGGGCTGTGACCCACAGGTTGAGAATCGCTGTTCTAAAAGGACCTGTTCAGTCCTTACCATGAAATCTCCCTGAATCCTCCAGCCCTCACCCACCTCATCACCTCAACATACATTTCATGTTTTGTTAGATTTAAATCTAACTGGTATTGTTCTCAATTCTTCCTATGCTTGGTTGTCTCCCTGAGCCAGAGACCTGGCCTTCCCCTGCTCTGGGAACCCGAGGGCACCACTCGGGTGCAAAAGGCACGTGAGTGGGTGTGATGATTAACTTTATGGGTCAATCTTACTACTGACATTTGATCAAAAATCAGTCTGGATGTTTCTGGGAAGGTATTTTTTCAGATGAGATGAACATTTCAATCAGTAGACTTTGCATAAAGCATATCATCCTCCTCAATGTTTTAATAAAGACTGTGATTGGGCCTCACTGAATCAGCTGAAGACCACCAAGGAGGGAAATTAAACCCTGAAGTTTCCCCAAGGAAGGAGAAATTGTGTTTCAGAGAGTCTTTGGCCTTGAACTGCAGCATGAGCACTTCTCTAGGTCTCCAGCCTCCCAGCCTGCCCTCCAGATTCTGGACTTAGCCCCCACAATCATGTGAGCCAATTCCTTAAAATCTTTCGATCTCTTGAAAGACAAATTTAGATATAAATATCATTCTATATAGATTTGTTTACATAGAACTAGATCTCTCCCCCCGCACCCCCCGCACACCACACACACACACCCTACTGGCTCCAAAACTCAGGAGAATCCTGACCAGTCTACATGGGTCATTATGAATGTCTTGAGATACACAAATATGCAGATCTTCCCTATCAATATGAAGTCCATGTGTCTCAGGCTTGGGTGTGATCTGCTGGGCCACAAGCAGAGCAGAGCAGGTCCTAGGTGTAAACTCCTTCAACTTGGGGTGTGGCCATCCTTGGGCTCTAAGAAGCTCCCAGGGAGCTGCTGGGAAACACCTGGAAGGGCTGTGCCATCATCTGGTGGGTGTGTCCTTTACAAACCTGTTCAAGTTAGCCACCCAGAGACTGGCATCACATGCGGATGGAAAGGGATATTTGGATGGGGCAGTGGGAGTAAAAAATATTGAACAAAAGTGCACCACCCTCTACGGAAAAGGCAAGGACAACTGGGTACCTTCAGACCCTCAGTGGACTTCTTGGTCCTCCAGGCTACATTTAATGATGTGCACCTGCGATGGTGGCCACGTGGCCCACTGGGCCCACCACAGCCACAGAGGCCAAATTTGGGGTCAGGGCCTCTTTTGTCCTGTAGCACCTTCATTTGCTCCACCTGCCTGCGTGGAGAACCCCCTTGGAGTAGATACCAGGGTACAGAGGGGAAAAGACAATGGGGTAAATAGGATATTATGTGATAAGAGGAGGGTGGCACAGACCAAAACAAACTGCAGAGAAGAGAAGAGGAGGGGTCAGCCCTGCAGCAGCCTCAGAGGAGAGGTGAGAGGGCGGAAGGCGTGTGGTTAAGAAATGAGCTACGGTGGACAAAGCTGGAGCATCAAGAATCAGTTAGTCTTTTTTTCTTTTTTTAATGTTCAGTGACTCTGCCTGTAAGATGTAAAACTGAGGGCTGGGCATTTGCTATCTACTTTGCGAACCAGAAGAGGGAGGAATCATCAGGGGGTGAATGGAAGCAAAAGGAAAGGCTAAGCACAACGTGGGCTGTCCACATGGTGGACTATTGCTCAGCCTCAAAACGCTGACACAGGGTACGTATACAACATGGACGGAGCATGAGGACACGCCCCTCGTGAAATGCGCCAACCACAAAACTACCAACGCTGTAGGATCCCGCTAAGACAAGGCACCCGGAGATGCCGAGTGGGATGACGGTTGCCAGGGGCAATAAGGAAGCAGGACAGAGTTACTGTTTAATGGACATGGGAATTTGGGTTTTGCAAGACGAAAAGTGTTCTGTGGAAGGCTGGTGGTGATGGCTGCGTAATAATAAGAACGTACTTAATTCCACAGAACTGTACACCTAAAAAAATTTAAAATGGCAAATTCTGTTCCATATACTTTACTACAATTTTAAAAATACTCTAAAAAGCTGCGGCACCTGTGGCTCAGTGGGTAGGGCCCTGGCCCCATATACTGAGCGTGGCAGGTTTGAACCCAGCCCCAGCCAAAACTGCAACAAAAAATAGCCAGGCATTGTGGCCGGTGCCTGTAGTCCCAGCTACTCAGGAGGCTGAGGTAAGAGAATCGCCTAAGCCCAAGAGCTGGATGGAGGTTGCTGTGAGCTGTGATGTCACAGCACTCTACCTAGGGCAATAAAGTGAGACTCTGTCTCTAAAAATAAATAAATAAAACAAAGTACATTTAAAAAAAAAAAAAAGAAGCAGCAAGGGTGGAAAGGAGAAAAAAGGAAATGAATGAATCAGAATGCATAGAGAGGGAGCAAAGATTAAAAATAAACACACACACACATACACCACACACGTGGGTGCGTGTGTGGAAAAGCCTTGAGACAGAATTTCACAAATCGCTTTTCCTGTCTGGGTTTCAGTTCCTGCCCAAGACCTGGCTGCACCCCTCAGCCCCCTTCCCTGCTGTCAGTTTCCACATTTGCATTTTACCTGGAATATAACACATTAGCATATTAAGGGCTTCCTTTAACTGGTTTTACAGGGCACTTCTTAAATACTTGTCATTGGCAATGCAAGCCTTTCTTCATTTAATACTCAGTTATACTTTGCAGAACACACTTGTAAAAACACACAGCTACAGCCAATGGGAAACTGAGCCCTTGAAGCAGGAAGCACAGAGACCATGCAGGTGTCAGAGACCCTCCAGCCCCACTGGAGAACAGCCAGCAGCCTGGAGGTGACCAGGAGGAGACTGGCCGTGGCTGCAGAGCAGGCCCGCCCTCCCTGCTTTTGTGAAGACACTGCTCCTCCTCCCTGCAGGTCTAGAGGGGGGCTAGGGGGAGAGGGGGATAGTGCTCTGGCCCAGAAATGAGGGACCTGGGTCTCTGACCTGGCCCTGCCATGCACTGCATGCTCTGCCCTTCTAGAGCTACCCCTGGGGAAGATGCTCCATAAATTCCCAGCAAGGCCAGACGGAGCAAAGGGTCAGGCCCTGTCGCAAACTCTCCACCAAGATGACAAAACAGGAGAGGTCTGCTGTGTTGGCCTTCTCGCACTGCGGGGAGGAGGGAGAGTGGAAAATGTGTGTTCCGTCCCAGGTGAGCTGGCGCAGGATCATGTAACAGGAGCTACAAGGCCCTGGAGAGAGAGTACCCAGCCCAGCTCAGCTAAGCCCGACCCCAGCTGTGTTTCAGATGGGAAACAGAGACCCAGGAGGAGCCTGGAATCCAGGCCCAGGACCAGAAAAGCAGAGAGAAAAGGGCAGCCTGGGCCTGGTGGGAGCCTGCAAAGGACATGCCAGCCAGCCCTGCCCCTGCAGCACCTGTCACTCAGCCACAAGTCCCTCTCTGCCTGACCTGGGGGCTGCTCCTGATTTCCAACACTCCTCTCTCAATTTCTCAAAAAGAAGAAACTTTTCACATTCAAAGTAGCACTTTTAGCAATCAGAAGATCAAGCACAATCTACTCCTTCATTCATTCCAAAGTCTTTGCTGCATGCCTCCTCTCAGCTGGGTCCAACGGGGGACCCAGGGCAGCGGACAAACAAACTCAGGGGACCAAGGCTAGGCCCCAGAAGGCTACCCAGTAATCTCTGTTCCAGACTTTCTCCCAGAGAAAGGAATAAAATTCAGTCGCCTAGAAAGTGCTAGAAAAATGCCAAATGATATTAGCCACTAATGCCCAGCGTCTGCCTCACCATTAAAAACCAGATTGGTAAGTTTTTTTTTTTTTTTTTTATCCTGTATACCAGCTGTTCCTAACCTAAATCAAACCATAGTAGAATGACTGGGCCAGACCGCAGGGCCAGGCCCTGGCCCTGGCCTCCCAACCCCTCATTTGCCAAGTCTCTCCCATAGTCCTCTCTCTGGCCCGAAACTCCCCCGTCACCCGGCTGGCAGCACTATGCTGGCGACCCTCTCAAAACACAAGGCCAACTCCCACCCACAGCTGCGTGGACAGAAGGATCCCTGCCAAGAGAGCTCATCCCTACAGAGCCCTCCCTCAGGGAAACCCCACAGCAGGAAGCCAGGAGGAAGAGGATTTTTCGGGCACAGTGTTTTGTGGAAAGGATTATCCTCCAGAGTAAAGCCACAAACCTCATGTAGGCCTTGAAAAGGCCTGTCTCACCTTCCGGA